CCATACAAAGAGGATATATACAAACACAACATATTTCTTCTCTGTTAATCTTTCTCAAAACCTTGGACTCGAATCCGCATAGTGGCAGATTTCTTTTGGGCTCCCAGGTCAAGCCCATTCTGAAATGGGTACAGGGAAGTAAAGGCAGCCAGTACAATGTTGACCGCATCAATTGCCAAGTGCCGATCTGTCAAAAATGTATGAGAAGCACCATATGACCAATGCACTAGTGGCGTCGAAAGGGCCCTTCACGGCCACTTCAGACAAAACATTTAATATTCACTCAAAAGAAGACTTTAGTTTCACAGCTAGTCTCCTATGATCCAAGAATGAAGAAAAGACGGTACTGGGTTATGTATGCATTATCACTACAAAGTCCATTTATGTTCCCCCCACAAGATGGTTTCCCCATGTGGGTTCCGGCACCCTATTGTGGGGAGAACATACATAGTCTCACCGTCTCCCTAATAAGCATGTCATAAGAGTCAACTAACTGGGACCTTCTTTCAAAGTCGAAGTGCATCTGTCAGAGCGGCAAGAAACAACCAACTGCACACAAATAAGCCAGTAAAATGGATGTACACGCAAAACTCAGGCCCTGGTACAAAGCAAAAAACTCAAAAGAATGAACAACCAGGACCTTTTTTCTGGAGCTTACAGCCGGCAAACAAAAAAGAAGAAGAAACCCACAAGGAGAAAGGCTGCGACAGACCTAAAATATACTGAGAAGCCGCTCAGAAACAGACGAATCATCGGCAGACAACTTCATGGACAGTATTTGGGTCTGTTCTTTTGATCGCATCAACACTGCAGGAGTACTTTTCAGGGCTTTTGGTGGTATGCAATGCTAAGCCATTTTATATGGCGCCTATAACCTAGTCACAAACATAACCTATAGCTCCCCCTTTGGGGATGCTGGTTAAATGTGACTTTTTTTTTTTAAAGAGAAAAAAATATGGAGAGGACATAACTGCAGCAGATGACTAACAACTGAAGCGCTTGGTGCAGGCTGGTCGCATGAGAAATAAAAGGTAGAAGTAGCAGAAGCACATAATTGTTGCCTAGAACACCAGCAAGAGGGTGCTTGAACCCCTGGCAAGGCAATGGTGATGGTCTGAATTTCTAGCAATGAGTAAAACACACTGCTAGGAATTAAAGGCACTTAACTCTGCCAGCATTCACAAGAGTTACCACTTTTGACAATCACAGGTAGTGATGTACAGACATTTAGGCAACATTTAACATAAATAATTGTACATATCAATACATAACTAAAGCTAAACTACTGAATCACAACCAGATAGTAAGTTCTATCTTTGGTTGAGATAGTTGATGTTTTATCACAAGACACTTTGGTCACTGAAATTATTATGAGATTAATTACTATATACAAATTATACAAAATGTGTCTGCTCCTTTCTGTTCTGTTTGGTAAAGCACACTGTTTGCACTGTTTCACTCTTTAGTCATCATCATCATTATGTAGCAGGTTGCTCTCATCACGGTCTGCCAAAAAGAAACTCGGTCTCTAGCCAGACCTCCCGCCTCATGCACTTTCATACTCAAGGGGTCGCTTATATCCTATGCCCATCTTCGTGTCAACTGGCCCCTGCCTGGTACCATGCCTTCTGCTATAATTTTTTCTAATCCGTCGTGGCGTTTTATATGACCAAAATATTTCAGCTTCCGAGACGCTGTTAATTAGTCAAACTTCCTTGATGTTCAGATCTTTCAAGATGTCAGTATTTCTCCTATTCTTTCACCCTTTAGTACAACCAGCTAATGTGCAATATTTATAATTTTTCACCAACAATCCCAACATCTGTACAATTTCATATATACTAAAATATTCTGCCATTTTCAAACAGATTAACATCAAATATTTAAAAAAGAATCTTTTATGTGGAAAAATATAGAATAAACATGGATCTCTGACAAACAATAAAGAACTTAAATATTACAGTAAGATTTTTCCAAAGCCATCTTCTTCTCCTTCACCGACTGTAAACTTCATTATCTTCTTGGTCTATCTCGTGATCTACGTTCTTCTCCTCTTTTAGTATATGCCTTGTATGGCATATACACCAACATAAACTGATATTAACACAGGTTGGTATAAACATGTGATCCATCAAACTAAACAAGTTAAGGAAATACAGCATGGCAGAAAATCAGCTCAAAATATACGTGCTTGGCTTTGACAAATGGGGCAATAGTGGAAACAGTAGTCCGAAACACAAGACAAAAAGAAATGGCACTTTTTACAACAAATGTTGATCACTGGCTGTCAAAGATATGTGTCCAGTGTACAAACAAAAATTATGAACCACCACAAACATTTAAAATTTAAAAAAAATGATTATTTAGGGGGGGGGAAATTCAACTTCAGAGTTTTATAACAAAGTGCTGCACATGGGCAGTCCTAGAAAAACAGATGCAGAATTACTACATGTGAGATAAGATTTATAAGAAAGGTGGCTGGAAAACGAGAAGAGTCACCAATGAGGAACTAAGCCCGTCTCTCTAGCGTAGTTGACTAAACCGGTGACGAACTCCTTGTGGTCCGGGTTCACTCCCGGGGGTGGGCAGAAAAGCCACATTTTCTCCCAGATTTACGGTATTTAAAATGGAATCAAGGCCGAAAGGTTGGGATATCCATAATACCGAGCCTAAGGGTTAACAACTCATGGCTTCTGGATACTAAAACAAACAAACATGAGGAACTAAGGACGACAGTAGGCACAGTACCGGTAAATGATTTAACAGAACATCAAAGAATCAAATGGCTTGGTCATGTGGACAGAATGGAACGAAATCAGCCAGTAGCTAGAGCACACTACAAGAGAACAACAGGCTACAAGGCAAGAGACTGGCCAAGAAAAGGATGGGTGGAGGCAGTAAAGAAACACTACAGAAATACAATACGACATTACAATAAGCTGTGCAAGCAGCAAAAGACAAGAAACAACATAAAACTCCTCTCTGCGACTAACTGCAGCATAATCAATCAGACAAAAGAAGGAGCTACCAACGTGCTGGAGAATTTTAGAACTGCTGGAATGGTCTACCATCACTTACAGGAATATTCTACGTTTCCCCGGGAAAGAGAGCAGAGAGCACGCCGAGGTGTGGCAGATGTAGTTTTGGGACCAAATATTAATTGAAATAAAAGGACTTGTTTATACAAACGGGGCTATCACCATCTACCAAGAAATGGGAAAAGGACCCATGTTCAAAATATGAACAATGTAGTAATTAACTATTTTATGTTAGTAAAAGACAGGAAACTATATATACGAAATAAACAACGTAGTAATTAACTGGTTTTTTTTTTTGTTGGCCAAAAAAAAAAAACAAGAAACTACATATAACAAATAAAAATGTTGTAATCAACTGTTTTAATGTTCAAAACTGTCAAACTCAGGGCTTTTTGTGAGTCTCTGATGGTATGCATTCTTTCCAGTGCTGCCGTAACAGACACTCTGTAGTGAGTACCGACACCGTTTTATTTTTACGTGAGTATTTTCTCTAGACAAAATGCCCTGGGCAGACTACAGACTTACAGATGGCAGGGAGCAGAATGCCAAACAGGCATCAGTTGGATAACTGATAGTGAATTAAACAAAGAAGTACATGGAGGTACTTTGGTATGGCTGCTGCGAAGGACTGAGCACACATGAGAATGCCCAATGTGTAGTGGCGTTGACTGAGGTATATGATAAAATATGCTTGTTTGCTTGTTCCAGATAAAGGAATACACTGCACTCGCTGGCATAATCTTTTGAATAACACCCACATCTTCTTCTTTACCTCCTCTTTCACCACTTCGGGTTCAAGGGAGATATATGGTCCTGCTTTGTGCTTTTCTGGCTGCTTTGACCAAAGACGTATCGTGTTAATGTAGAGTTTCTCTGATGCTATCCTTACATGTTGTTCTTGGTCTACCTCTTGCTATACGTCTCTCTCCTCTTTTGGTATATGCCTTGAATTGTATAGCATCAGAAGGCATTCTCTCCATGTGGGCAAACCATTTTATTTGCTGTCTTTCTATGTAATTTAGAATTGGTTCTGTGCTGATTTTATCTCTATGACCTCATTCCTGATTTTATCTCTTCTTGTCACTCCTACAGCCCTTCTCATACATTTTTTCCATGGTTACTAATTTTCTTTTATGTTTTGTTGTGAGTGACCATGTCTGGCACTAGTAGCATAGGGTGGAAATGAATAAGGTTTGTATAAGATGTCTCATTGTGCTGATTGGGATTGCCTTATGCTGTAAGGGTGGGGTGGCTAGCTGTTCCAATACTTGGCCAGCTTTACTGCACTGAATGTAAATTTCTTCGACAGACCCATATCTGTCCATGTTGAAAAGATACTTTTATGATAAATATTTAATGAGCTAGCAACAAGAGCTTCCAACAACAACGCTGGCAAAATATTGCACATGATGCTAAATAAGATACAAATTTGCCTGTTGGACATTTCTAACAATGCTTCACTCATCTGGCAGACATTTGTACAATTTTAAAATGCTTTAATCATATTTTCAACACTTCTAAAAAATACGTCATTTGCCTGTAGCAGATTTCTGAATCTACTTTACTCATGTGGAGGTCATTTTAAAATCTGCTTCACTCCCTTGCAGAATATTTGTAAAAATGTCCCACTTAATAGGGCATTTAAAAAAAATGCTTTATTAATACTGTGAACATTTCGCAAAATTATCCATTCAACAGTATCACAATGCTAAGAATACTTCACTTAACTTGCAGGACATTTCTACAAGTGCTTTATTCATCCCTAGGAGGACACTTCTAAAATGCTTCACTAATCTTGAGGACATTTCAAAAACACTTCATACATGTGAAGGACATTTCTGGAAGTGTTTCACCCCTTGGAGGACATTTCTAAAAATGATTCACTTATTCATAGGACATTTCTAGAAATAATTCGTTCATCGTGTGAACATTTCTAAAATTCTTTCCTAAAGAACACGTTTCTCAAAATACATTGTTCCCAATATTGAGCGGAAGAAGGTAATTTTTTCGCAACTCGTGAGCACTGATCCTGGAATAGTTGACGTTGTCTTTCTGCTCCTGATGAAAATGAGATTTGTGAAAGTGAGCTGTGGTTGTTAGAATCTCGCCCTCACCATCCTTGTACGCAGCAATGAAGTTTGTTGAGAAGTTCTCGTGCATAATGTTCAGTGTCAGCAACACCCATTCTAGTTTGACGTCTGAGACCAGCCTGGCATCATGCGCAGACTTGACCTCTTTCAGTCTTCTCTTGGTTTTTTCCATGGTTTTGTCAAAACGTTCACCGTCTTGTTTGGCTGGCGTCATTAGCGTAACCTGAAATTTACAAAATGGTGGCTGATTTATTGAAATATGACATCTTAGGATATTTTTTTCATTTAAGGGAGGACAGAACAATGAATAGTCTTTTTCTAGTCCTAGTCGAGGTGGTTTCAACTTTATTGCAATCGGTTCACCCTATACTTCCTGTTCCTGTGCCAGTGAAAATCAAATGAAATGCCCCTCACTGTCCCATTTGAAAAACTGGTGAACAAACAATTAGTCCTGGCACAATTCAGAAACATGCGCATGCAGTAAATGCATATGGCAGTTGCTAGAGGTGCCAAAGCAAATAGTCGCCACCAGAAATGCAGTTTGTGTCAGTTTTTTGGCATGAAAGAGGTTAATCAGAGCTCTGTCCCTGCATTAGTTTTAAATGTAATCCCATGTTAGACTTTGCTTCTGATGTGATACCAAAATACTGCTGGGCTGAGTTTAGTCAAGAACTGACATCACAGTACTCGGGGCAATTCCATGCTTACTCCATCCTCATCTTCAGCAGCCAGCGCAGAGTTTCAATACTGATGGTACTGGTCACAATCTGGTTATATACCTGTCTTCTCTGAGTTTAGTGAGCCAGCCAGACCCTCTGGTTACACCCAGGTGCCTCATTCTCTCCAGGCCATAATAATCTTAGTTCTCTACTGATTCTGTTGCTTGTTCCCAAAGGGCATTGACCACATCTGCCTTGTCATGTATCAATTCACCATTCAGTGGTGCAGATCCAGCCAATCTATCTGTCTGTTCATTACCTACTACGCCAGCATTGCCTGGAGAAAAGATCTAAAGTATGCTCATTACCCGTGACCTTTGCAGTCACTCTGCTCGAAGCATCCCTGTCTTCACCTTTCTCAGCATGCTTTCAGAGTCTGTTACAATTACGACATGTGTATGCCTCTTGTTCTCTAGCCACCAGAGAGCTGTAGTTAACGCCTCCACCTCCATTCTCATGCTAGATGTTGTGGTGTCATATGCTAGGCTGTCTTGCACTAAAGATTTTCCATTGGCTTTCGCCACGAACCCCCGGCACTTCTCTTTCCTCCTAACACTGAACCATCTGTATAGATAATTAGATCACCTGGGCGTGAATTGTCCTGAATCAACTGTTGGACTTCAACCAAAATACTGTACACACAGGGACTACTGCAGAGCTCTCCTCCCCCTCTCCAAGCTAAGAAAGAAGTAGGGTGCGCCAAGCTGGTATCCCCATTTGCAGAGGGGCAAATTAGGATGTAACCAGATTATAATTCAGCACAGCATAAAAAGCCTGTGTACGATAGGCAAAAATTTATGTTCCCTTCACTGGTTTTTAGATATTTAAGAGTCGAAAGACTCTAGCCTAATGCACAGTAAGATTATAAAGACCCTCTTCAACCCCATTATATGGGCACACAGTGCTAGGCCCATATGTTTAGATACACAGGCACTCAGCGGGTGATGTAGTCAACATCACGTCAGTCGTCTTTACTTCCCAGGTCTTTACCTATTACCCATTTAATGCTGGGTTGACCTGGAGGCCAAGGTCATGTCATCCAGCTTCCAGTACATAGAGGGATGCTGAAATATGCTAATTTTAGCATCACTCACCTGAAACCCTGTTCCCTTATTTCGTATCATCAGCAGCATCAGCAAGAAGAGTCTTTCTGAATCGATGCGAGGTGTGACCACATACACTGATGCGCCCACACCGAACCAATCATCCAGCAGGCTCTTCCACAGCCTCATGATGAACTCGTGATGCATGATTCCACCTCCTTCAGGAATGCGGTCAAGCAGATCCTGAACCTGTATTATCATTAAAGCACTCTAATATTATTACAGTATAATTTTGATTAACCGTCACTCTTCTGTCAGTTTCTGTTATCCATCATAATCTAACAAACATGTGTGAGTATCAGACATTTTTTTTTAAAGTATTACAATACATTGGGAGTCAAATTGGCATAGCGGCTAGGGCCTTTACTTACTACAATACATTTCTGTACATGATTACTTTTGTACTGAAGTTTATATTCATTGTTTTGTAAAATTAAATACAGTATGTATGTATTATTATATATGCATTGAAAGGAAGCTTTTTTAACGGTATTGATGACATCCAAAGGGCCGTAACATCCACTATAAGGGTCATAACAAAATATGGTACCCTGGAACCCACACAGAGAACACCATAGGTAATTTTGTGGGCACATTAAAAGAGAAAAAGTGGAACATACTGTCATTATTAGAAAAAGAAAAACTGGAAGAAAAAAAGAGAAAATTCATGATAGCCTTTTTTTATGGCAAGGAAAGATGCCAGAACATGTAACGACGCTGAAGACTGAAAAACAGGCTTTTTGGCACAGCACTTCATAATAAAAGTAGATAAGCATGTACTGTGAGGAGAGGAAAAAAGAAAAGATCAGAAAACACTAGAGAACATTACAATTTAGAAATTCGCAAACTAAGAATCAAACAGCCACCCTTCAATGACGACAGCACCTCTTTTAACACAAAAGTGTATTCACCTGTAGTTTTTTACTTTTGTACGGCCTAGTGTTTCCATTGATCTCTACATCTTTGTTTTCTTGCAAGGGGTGCACACTCTTTATCTCTTCTTAGCGCTCACCGACTGTAAACTCCAAAGGAAAGTTCTGGTTGCTCATCCACTTCTGGGCTTTGGTCTTGTTCCATTTTGCATGCATGCACATCCATTTTACAGATCTGGTTAATTTGTACGCAAACTCCTGATAGCTCACCTCTCAGGTAGATGCACTTTGAAGGAAACCCCACTCATTAGTCGTCATTTACGTCATGTAGTTGGTCTACACTCACTACTGTATTTCTAAGGCTTTCTGTTCTTAGCAAATTGTATCTCTGCGTAAAATATGTAATGCACAGTAAATCTAGCAACTTAAGATAACCTATCTTACCTCTTCATCATCTTTATCTAGCTGTAAAAATCGAGTCACTGAATTTTCCGACACAGATTTGCCATCGCTGGGCAGCTCCACTGCGTCTCCATTCCCAATATCCAGAAGAGCCCCAAATGTGTCCACAAACCAGGGCCAGTGGTCCTTCCCACTTATCTTCATCAGCCGAGTTGTCTTGTTTAGTTTGATTGTTACCCCTGTTGATGGCTTGATTTTGATTACATCCCCCTTTTCTCGACATTTTATACCTGGGTAGTAAATCTGGAAAAGATCATTAGGTATAGTTTTAGATATATGTAAAATATGAAGGGCTTTAACTCTTTAAGGCCCAAACTATGGTGTGAGCGTTGTTTGAGAAGTTCCGTTTTGCTCAAACAACGGTGTCATCGTCAATCGTGTATCCCTTACATTTTGCTTTGCACATGGCTTTGTACTAGTTTCTAATATTTGGAAGTACTATTAAACTATTCAGGAAAAGCCACTCTTTCGAAATCCTTTTAGTTTCATTTCCTGGACTAAACCACACATGGATAATTTGAGAGAAAAAAATCAGCGAAAAATTTTTTTCAACAGTTTATTTCCTAAGTTCTGAGTGCCATGAATACCAGTTCCAACAAGTACAGGCCGAAGCTCTGAAATTGTTTTAGTCAGATGTTTTTAAATGTGATAATGATAATGTAAATTTAGATTTTTCGGAAAGTTATTCGGACGGTGAATTTTCACCAGTGAAGCTGAGCGATCAGCTGTTCGGAATCTAGCGATTCTGAAGAGTTTATTACACAGACAATGTCCCATACTACCGTATTTATGGTGTAAGAGAAGGAAAGTGCTCTAAACAAAGAGACAGTATACTATACTATGGCTAAGTTACATTGAAATCATCGCAGCTACAGTCTGTAAATAACTGTACAAAGTAAATAGCGTGTGTGTAATGGCTCATTTTTCTGCCATTTTTTCTCTGAAATTTTGCTTAGCACTCTGTGAGAACTAAGAGCCCCTGAGTGTTAAACGAACCCAGAAAGTTATCATAACTTTGTAATATGTTAGGAAATTGAACAAACTTTGAAGTTTTGTTCTCAAATTTGTTATTTACTACTTTTGTGGCTGCAAAACCATGGTAAGTGAAGAATTTTTGTGTGAAATGTTGTCCTTGTGAAATTAACACCTTCTGAATTCTTTTTCCCACTAACTATAACAAAATTAAACAAACACTTATCATCAGATTCAAAATATACATTCATTTCTCTTTTAAAAAGTATACACTTTTACAGGGATTAGAAGTATATTACAATCTCTATAGCCTTTCTTGTACACCAACCCCTGTGTTTTTTGGGAAAGTGAAATTAATGTGGGCCAAGTCTGTCAAAATTCATGGGCCTGAAAGAGTTAAACGAAAACATTAAAAGTGCAATAGAAATAACACAGCCATGCCAAAGTCTTGTAACAATAATGTTAAGGATGTCAAGAGGGTTAAGCACATGACATCACAGTGCAGACAAACATGGCAATGTCTTAATGACACTTCAAAGATGGCCACCAGACTTTTGACATGCACCAAAGAATGTTGATTATTGAATTAAGAATCAACATCACAGCACTCGGGAGACTCCCATAAGTGCTCCGTCCCCATCTTCAGCAGCAAGTGAAGATTTCCTATTCAGAGGTTATCAGTAACCGTCTGATTGTATATCCATCTCATCCCTCCCCTGAGTGTTGCGTGTCAGCCAGATTCCCTGGTAACTCCTCATAGCGCCACTCTCCTCAGACCATAATGATCTATTTGCGCCTTCTCACTGTTCACTCGTTCCCAAAAGGCCCTTACAATATCTTAATTGTCATACATCAACTCACCACCAAGTGATGCAGAGCCAGCTAATTTATCTGCCTGCTTATTTAACAACACACCGGCATGACCTGGAGAAAATATCTAAATGACAATAAATACATACTATTTGCAGACATCTTAAAACAGGGCGAAATATGCCTTGATAAAAAAAAGTTGCATAAGGTCTACAGCCTGATAAGACATGCATGGAAAACATACTTTGAAAATCTCCAACCACCAATTGATGATTCCCCTATAGTTTGAGAACACAACAATCTGGTCCCCTTCATCAACCATGTCTATATCATGGCTGGTGGGTGTTCCCCAAATCTGTGCCATCATCCGACGTCTGTCTTTCTTGGACATTTTTCTCTCAGTTCACTGTAGATAGAACACAAATAAAAAACCATAATTACACACGAAACCACGTGCATATTCATCTTCACATAATAATCTAAGTATGTAATGTCATTTACAGTTTGGTAATAAATGGATCTACACTGTTCATTACAGCAGTCAAAATAATCACATGACATATACAAACAAAGGACTATTGTGTGTCAGGGACTTTGTCAATGTGAAGTCACTTCTTTATGGGTAGATGACAGGTTATCTCTTAATATTATCGCCCCCAGGAAGTAACAAAATCGGCCCTTCTGGTATGTGCTATGCCTCCCTCCGTAAATGCCGCTTAACTGGCACAGCTATAGTGACATGTTTGCAGAAATCATCTATAACAGCGTTAATTCTATTTGCATATGCGCAAATGTTTAATAGGTTTGCAAATGGCTATAGTTGCTAAATCATATTTTGTGATCAAAACCATAAACAGTTATCACCATCAGCCCAATACAACTTATGATTCCTTAAATTTATAATTGGGCTCCCTGGCCGAAAATATACCCTAACAGGGCCTCAGTCACATGTAAATATCGGACTTCTGGCGACTACTGCCACCGCCGAGAGTATCTCCCGCACTGCTACGAGCGGCACGGAGTGGGGCTAAACTAGATGGCTGGGACTCAGGAGAAAATAAAATGAAGGAAGTTGCAGGAGATGCTGCTGCTCATGAGTCCCAGCCATCTAGTTTAGCCTTGCTCCGTGCCACGCGTAGCAGCACGGGAGATACTCTCGGCGGTGGCGGTAGTCGCTGGAAGTCCGCAATTTAAGTCGCCGGAAGTCCACAATTTACATGTGACTGAGGCCCTGTTAGGGTATATTTTCGGCCTCGATAATTTGGGACCGTTATTCGGAGGATAGCCGGCTAAGAAGTTAGTGCTTTGTGGGGGCGCTCTCGGCAGGCAGCTTGCCGCTCTGCAAAGAGAGACTGAGCCATATGGAACAAAACTCAGTGCAAGGAAGTTAATCCTCTCAACTAATCCCCTCCCCCTTTTTTTTAAAGGAAACTGTTCATATTTCATCAAACTCATTCCTTGAAATTTTAATGAGTGTACACACATCTTTTAACTTTGACAAAACACTGTAAAAATTTTTGGCTATCCTCCAAATAATGGGCACAAAAGATGGCACCAATGACGCCCAAAAACAGGGCCTCAGTCACGTGTCCATTCAGGGGACCTAATTTGCTGTTTTCCGGTGACTACCGCTACCGCCGAGAGTATCCCCCAAGCAGCTCACTCGCGTGGATTGGGGCTAACCTAGATGGCTAGGACTCAAGAGCAAAGCTGCAGGAGATGCGGAAGCTGCTGCTCGTGAGTCCCAGGCATATAGTTTAGTCCTAATCCGCAGCGAGGGGGATACTCTCAGCGGTGGCGGTAGTAGCCGGAAAACCGCAAATTAAGTCGCCAGGAGTGCGCATTTGACACGTGACTGAGGCTCTGTTAGGATGTTTTTTGCGGGCGCCATCTTTTGTGTCCGTTATTGGGAGGATAGCCTAATTGTTAAAGGAAGTAGTAAATGATATATCATGTGTATGGAATAACTATACAATCACAAAAGATTACAGCAACAATTTGTAAATCAAGTGAAACCTGGTGCCTCTTAACTCCTGTCCGACGTATAGTATACTTTGCTTTGCAGTTTCTGTCACTGTCATAACTATAATTATTATTACTAATACTGATATAGTATATTAATATACTATATAAATTATATTATAATAGTAATAATACTGTTATGAGTGTTAGTTACTGCCATTGCAACTTTTCATGTGAGGAGTGGTCAGTGTGTCGCGAGTTGTTCGAAACAGTGAAGTGAAGGATGTCAAAAAAGTAAAAGATCAGAGTATTGTATGCTTGAAGGTTTTGAGTAACGTAACTGGCTAACTATACTAAAGAAATTATTCCACAAAAACCTACACGAAACGCAGCAATGAAGAGAAAAGTCCAGCAACTAGTCCGGCTAACAAGTCTTGTACACAAACAGAAGCACACGGAAGTGATAGTCAGGCAGGCGGCTGTAACCTTTGACATACTTCGTAGAGTGTAAAAATGTGATTAAAAATCAGTTTTAACGAAACAAATAATTATAATGTTGATTGTGTTAGTAATAGTACACCCTTCGAATGCCTTCAGACGTATTTGGCTTACAGTAATATACATATATTTTATAGACGAGTCGACCTCAGCTGATGAAACGCTTAACATAACGCCAGCCGCCTGTACTTCTCAGGACTTCACCTGCTACCCATTTAAGGTTGGGTCGACCTGGGAGACAGGGTTATTTATAAAAGAAAATCTGGAGCCATGCTGATTGGAGCGCAGAATCTTCAGATCCGCAGGCGAGCGACCAGCCGATACACCAAACCAGCGCCGAAGATAGTCTAGTCAGAGATATTCAACTGTCGGCCCAGAAAAGGAGAAAATAACTTGTCACGGCTGACTAGCCCAAAGCGTGGAAAAGATCAGTCTATATTCCCCTTCCTCCTCCCCCCCCAAATTATGCACAGTTATCGCACTATGCTTTGCGTTGGTTTCGACAGTAGTATCAATAAAGCCGACCGTCCAGGGCAATGGCAAACTACTGGACGTAAATTTGCCTAGAGAAACCACACAACAGCCAGGGGCTGTTTTGGTTGGTTCTGCAACGTCCTGTAAAGGATACGCAACAACCTTATCGCACTATAGCTCTAATTAGTCATGCCAGCATAATTCTTTTGCATATCATTCTGAGGAGGACTGGTAATAAATTTGAATATTCAATGAGGCATGTGAGAGATTTGATCCACTAAAAATTGGAGGTAATCCTATCTCAGAACTCAAATATGCAAACGAAACAATTCTCCTTTCCAACAGTGTACAAGGTTTAGACAAATTAATTCTGGCCGTCAAAAATCATAGCGAATCAGTGCTTTTTTTTTTTTTAATTAAAAAAAATTATGTCGTCTGTAAACAGCACGCCAACCACACATTACAACCGAAAATGAAGAAATAGAACATGTAACATATTTCGAATACTTGTGCTCTTTAGTGAACATCATAATTAAGGATTCGCTGAAACGGGATAGACTGGCCAAAAGGTATGTATGTCATAGCCTAGCTGTAAATTACAGCACAACATCTCAACCGCTCTTTATAGAGCAAACGCAGAAGTATCTAATCGGTTTGAGCTGTTCAGTGTTCACAGTCATTGACCTGTCTGAGCCGGGTTTCTATGAGACACTTCTGGCGAGGCAAGACCCAATTTCCCCGCGCTTCATCAAATTACCTGGTTTTCTGTGCTTGCAATTGAACACAGTCGTTAAAGGAAGAACGGCGCACATAGATATCGATCTTTGGGCTCAATCGAAAGGAATCATTGTCAGTAGAGAATATCAGTCGGCGGTGTCGTGTCAGATGAGTCACTTCTCCTCTGTTGAAATTTTTTTACTGTTAAATGGTGGAGGCTGTAACTGCAGCTTTCCCCTAGCTTGGGAGCAACAGCAGAACAGCCCAGCATGCTGTAATCGTATTGTTCGTCTATCACGAGTGATGAAGACCAATTTTATCTAAAGTAGTAATGATTAATGATTGTGAGTACGAAGGTGGCTGATTAGTCCAATATGAGCCAGAAAAGTTCTTGAGCAGTGCGGACAACAGATGGCGGCCGCAGTAAGTGTGGGATTAGCAGTACGATTTTTTCTAGTCTGCCTCCGTTACTGCCTACGCAACCCCACTGCCTTGCAGGCCGATGCACCTTGCCTGAGGGTTGTACGCCATCCAGAACGGTCTTGTGCAGCAGCATCCCACATCGCATCGCTGTGTTGATGCCAAAAGAATAGAGAGCAGTCTTCAGAGTGTCCTTATAGCGCTTTTTTCTATCCTCCCTAGACCTTTCCTTGCTGGAGCTCGCCATAAAATACTCTCTTTGGGAGGAGATATTATGGCATGCGGGTTAGGGGACCAGTCCAACCCAGCTGACAATTCTTCAGTATCTTGTGGATGCTAGGCAGGTTTGCCCTATCAAGAACCATAGTATATGGGATCTTATCTTGCCATTTGATTTTGAGCAGCTTTCTGAGAGAGGTTATATGAAACTGATTCAACTATCGTAACGGACTCATAGAGTATGTTTCAAAAATAGAAACTGGCGTTCTATGCGCAGAATGGCTTGATAAATTGTTAGAACAGAAGCATATCTTGGATTTTTTGTCCATGACATTCGGTTGTGTGCGTAAATAAGCAAGCTGATGGATTGGCTGCTATCGCGAATCTGAGCGATGAGCTACTTCATGAGAACAGTAAAGTATGTCTGAGATCAAGTAGACAGTGCAACCGAACGGGCCGAGTATCCATACCTTGAAAGACTAACTCAGACGGGGTGAAAAGAGGTTCTGGAAGATATTCAACATTGAAAGGGAAACAGAGATGGGTTTTAATCCGGTTGCAAGGTACCATTTGCATATCGACTCTTCGTTAACTTCTAAGGAAAGGGATGGAACACGTGTAGGAATGTGTCCCGAGTGTATAGGTGTCAATTCCTGATGTATTCATCCATTTTCATGTCTGCAAAAATGTCTGTAATTAATTAATCTTGGCTGTGTCTTTAATATAACTAGCGTTGAACGGTGTTTCCTGAACCGTTACCAGGTGATCCTCATCCGAATGATGGCACACTGTGTCACCGGGTGTTTATCGCTCTGTGTGATGTCCTGGTGGGGCAAAATTTACTTACTTACTTACTTACTTACATGTTTCATCTTTTTTTTTAAAAGTATGTTATGTAAATATAAAATGTAAATGTTATGTCACAATATCACCACCATCATCATCAGTAGCTGAAGGTTTGAGGTTTGAACACCGGATCAACATCACGACAAACGGGCAGTAACCCATAATTGCTCCGCTTATCTTCTAACTCGGGTCCGAAGAAACTCCACAGTACACAGGCTCTGTAGCACCGGCGAGGATCCTGAAATACTTTGGGTAGATTTTGAACTCCAAATTTTTGCCAGGGCAGCCCCGTTAGGCTACTCTTTTCGATTTCCGACTGCCAGGGGATTTTTTACGTGCGCAGCAATGCACACGGGCATCCAATCTCACTACCCAGAGACCGGGGGGGGGGCGGGGATTACTAGAAGTCCAAGTCCACGCGAAAAAAAATCCCAACCCTTACCGGAGATTGAACCCGGAACATCAAGCACTCGAGGCGGTCACCATGCCTCGAGACCACGCAGCCCTCTCAGTATCTGAAATTGTCAGGATACACACACCACAAAATAAACATTATAAATGTTTAAAAAAAAAAGTCGTGCAGTTACAGACCCTGAAATAAAAGTACGGTTATTTCATTGTACAGCCACCTCTGTAATCAATGTTTCCGGTTGCACGGTACTAATTGCATACATATCTTTAAAATACGATTCTTCTTCTTCAGCATTCCGAGCCATTGAAGTTCACTGCCGCAGATATCACCCGCCTCCACTCATCTCTTGGCCTTTTTTTTTTCACTTGGTGACACCAAGTTTTTGCAGGTATGTCTAGACGTTATCTCTTTATTAACTTCTTGGTCTGCCTCGTGGTTTACAACAATTCAGCTCCCTTGTGTTTACAGTTTGTACCTCTCTGCCATCTGACATTCTCTCAATATGCCTGAGTCATTTTAACCTATTAGTTCTCATGATGCACGGAATCAATGGTGATTTAAACAGAATATGAATTTCGTTGTTGCTTCTCTTCATTTCCCCCGTTTGCATCTTTGATGTGTCCAAAGATTCGTCGTAATACCCCGCTCTCCAAAATCTGTAATAAGGCTTCATCTCCTTTAGCTGTGCTCCAAGTTTCAGAGCCATACAAAACGACTGGTCTTATCAACATTTTATATATTTTGATCATGGTGTTGCAAGATAGAGACTTTGACTTTAGCGGATGTTGAAGTTTACTTTATTTTTAGATTGTATTTTTAAAAAAAAATGATTATACGATACATTAATAGCAAAATTATATTCTGAAAACTCAGTGAACACGTTTTTTCGTGTTTATTCCCCAGTGTAGGTTCGAGGTCCCATTGTGGGGAAAGATCAGAAACTGCTCCGCCGGGGGTTAGCAAAACTAACCGGGGGTTCCAAACTAACAAATATGTCAGAGACAAAATATACAATTCTGCGGGATATCAGGAGCCTCTCTTGGCAGTGGTGAAACGTCGCAAGCTGGTTTGGTTTACACACATGGTGAGATATGATTTGATTGCAAATACTGTACTTCAAGGAACGGGGTGGGGGGGGGGGGGGGGGGGTTGTCGAAGAAGAGGAGGACAAAGAAGAATCTATAATGACAACATCGAGAAATAGTCAGGACTGAGTTATACATTTGTTCATCAAGCGGAAGACAGAGAGAGAAGGCGGGTTTGTGTGTTAGTGCTTCCATCGATACACCTCAACGACCCTTGGGTCAAGGTCTTTGTTATGTTATGTGAGGAAAACAAAAATATAGCTGCCTCCCTAACAAGAATACCGTAAGAGTAGACTAATTAGGGTTTCCTTAAAAAACAACGGAGTGTGGTCGAGAGGCAAGAAACCAACAGTATGCATACAAATAAACCAGATCTGTAGAACGGATGCGCATGCACCGGAGGTGGAAGAACAGCCAGAGCTTTCCCCCTGAGTTTATAGACGGTAAACGCGAAAAAGAAGATTATATCATAGATCATGTGTTAATTGTAACAAATTGTAGGAGTATAGGTTGTTCAATTTAATAGTTTTCAAATGTATTTTATCCGGGGTTAGCATTCCCCCCTCGTCACCGCGCAGCAAACCCGGAAGTTTGTCTTTGTGTTAACTATGGCTATCCCAAGAATCGCCGGATAAGAAATGATTGTCGGCCTAGTTTTCTTGCCCTAAAAACTTCATGGTAGCCTCGCCAGTTCCGTCTGATTTCAACGTGATTTGGTCTTTGAAAAATATTAAAGTATTATTTGTTTAATTCTTGTGTCCGTTGCCCCAGCCGCGAGGTTACACTGTAGATGATTTGCCGGTGATCAGATCCCTTTCAATGCATACATTGTGATCTGATTGTTCTGTCAGATACAAATAGTAAAATACTACACACACAGTGTCACACACTTGTCTGCTGTTACTGTCAACTGAAAAATGTCCCAGGCGAACTCAAAAGACATAAGGAGAGCTATCAAAGCCTTCGTGTCTCATGTTGAATCACTGGAGAAAGCAGAAAACCCAGAGGAAAATGGATTTGAAGCAGAATACAAAGTAAGTAAAGTTAGTATATTAGTATTAGTTATTATTACTATATTAACTTTAATATTAATACTGTTTTTGGCTCTTCTCCGAACTTCAACCCGATATTATGGCGGCCATAAAATATCCTTACGGGGCTCAGGCATATGTAAAATGCGGACTTTCTGCCAGGGAACAATTCGCGGCAAAACTAGGATTACTTGACAATTTCAAGAGACGCAACATTGCAGACGATAATAGCGACCGTTGACAATTTCAAGCATTTCTGCAGACGATAATAGCATGCGCAAAACACGATTAAACTCACAGCTGAGCGTATCCACGTGCCGCTACGCGCGGCACGGATGGGGGGGCTAAACTAGGTGCCTGGGACTCACGAGCAAATTAATTGGAGGAAGTTGCAGGAGATGCGGTAGCTGCTGCTCGTGAGTCCCGGCCATCTAGTTTAGCCCCCATCCGCGCCGAGCGTAGCGGCGTGGGGGATACGGTCTGCGGTAAGGCATAGTCACAGAAACAGGTCCGCAAATAACATATCACTGAGACCCTGTTAGAGCATTTGTTTCATTTTACGGAGCCGGCATATTTTTAATAGAACTGAGCCCCGTAAGGATATTTTATGGCCACCATAATATCGGGTTGAAGTTCGGAGGAGAGCCCTGTTTTTTAATAATACTGTTATTAATAGGTTATCCTACATTTACATATCCTCTTGTTTGTCTCTGTTCACCCCTGAAAAGGCAATGAAACGTTGTGTTGTAGTTTATAGCTAGGCTGCGATATGTGCGCCTTTTGACCCACCACATCTGATTTTAGCAAACCCCTAACTAGTTTTCGGCTATCCTCCGAATAACGGCCACATATTATGGCGGCCAAAAACACACCCTGGCATGGCCTCAAATGGAAGCAGTGTAGCCATACATTTGTATATTATATACCTTGCAGTAGATTTTGTCTCACTTTAAATACATACATGCTATTTATTTCATCGTGGTTTTTGTGCCTCTTCAAGATGTGCGGCTATGTCTTCTAGAACTAAATGAGTTAAGGAAAAAACACAATCTGCAATAATGCTTGCATATTAAGATATAATTCACTCACAAAAACTAAGGAAAATGGAGCAGAGACATGGAAAATGACAAAATAATTACTGACAAATCAGAAACATTCTTTCTTCCTATGTGGGTTCTGGTGTCCCGTTGGGGGAAGATGGGCGGGTTGGTGGTTGGTGGAGGGATAGATCCACTGCCACTAAACAAGCATGTTGTAAAAGGTGACTTATTAGGATTTTTCTGAAAGGTGCAGAAATTGCAGCCTAGATTATTATATCCATTAGACAGCTGCAAAATTGTACCAGTTATGAACAGATCTAAAGAGAAAGAAAGAATTATTATAACTTGTGTTAAAAAACTCAAGGTTACGCCATCAGCAGGGAAGGTAATGCTGACAGTGTTTGGGATTATCAAGGAGGCATTTTCCACCTTTTGTCCACTGACTGCAAGATTGTGTTCGCATTATTGTCTGACTGTAATTTTGTTGATTATTGTCTAGCTGTGATTGTGTTGATTATTGTCTAGCTGTGATTGTGTTGATTATTGTCTGACTGTGATTGTGTTGATTATTGTCTGGCTGTGATTGTGTTGATTATTGTCTGGCTGTGATTGTGTTTACTATTGTCTGACTGTAATTTTGTTGATTATTGTCTAGCTGTGATTGTGTTGATTATTGTCTGACTGTGATTGTGTTGATTATTGTCTGGCTGTGATTGTGTTTACTATTGTCTGACTGTGATTGTGTTTACTATTGTCTGACTGTGATTGTGTTTACTATTGTCTGACTGTGATTGTGTTTACTATTGTCTGACTGTGATTGTGTTGATTATTGTCTGACTGTAATTTTGTTGATTATTGTCTAGCTGTGATTGTGTTTACTATTGTCTGACTGTGATTGTGTTGATTATTGTCTGACTGTAATTTTGTTGATTATTGTCTGACTGTAATTTTGTTGATTATTGTCTGACTGTGATTGTGTTTACTATTGTCTGACTGTGATTGTGTTGATTATTGTCTGACTGTGATTGTGTTGATTATTGTCTGACTGTGATTGTGTTGATTATTGTCTGGCTGTGATTGTGTTTACTATTGTCTGACTGTGATTGTGTTTACTATTGTCTGACTGTGATTGTGTTTACTATTGTCTGACTGTGATTGTGTTTACTATTGTCTGACTGTGATTGTGTTTACTATTGTCTGGCTGTGATTGTGTTTACTATTGTCTGACTGTGATTATGTTGATTATTGTCTGACTGTAATTTTGTTGATTATTGTCTAGCTGTGATTGTGTTGATTATTGTCTGGCTGTGATTGTGTTGATTATTGTCTGGCTGTGATTGTGTTTACTATTGTCTGACTGTGATTGTGTTTACTATTGTCTGACTGTGATTGTGTTTACTATTGACTGGCTGTGATTGTGTTGATTATTGTCTGACGGTGATTGTGTTGATTATTGTCTGGCTGTGATTGTGTTGATTATTGTCTAGCTGTGATTGTGTTGATTATTGTCTGGCTGTGATTGTGTTTACTATTGTCTGACTGTGATTGTGTTTACTATTGTCTGACTGTGATTGTGTTTACTATTGACTGGCTGTGATTGTGTTGATTATTGTCTGACGGTGATTGTGTTGATTATTGTCTGGCTGTGATTGTGTTGATTATTGTCTAGCTGTGATTGTGTTTACTATTGTCTGACTGTGATTGTGTTTACTATTGACTGGCTGTGATTGTGTTGATTTTTTTCTGGCTGTGATTGTATTAATTATTGACTGGCTGTGATTGTGTTTATTATTGTCTGGCTTTGATTGTGTTAATTATTGACTGGCTGTGATTGTTTTTATGATTGTGTGGCTGTGATTGTAATAATTATTGACTGGCTGTGATTGTATTAATTATTGACTGGCTGTGATTGTGTTTATGATTGTCTGGCTGTGATTGTGTTTATGTTTGTCTGGCTGTGATTGTAATAATTATTGTCTGGCTGTGATTGTGTTTATTATTGACTGGCTGTGATTGTATAAATTATTGACTGGCTGTGATTGTATAAATTATTGTCTGGCTGTGAGTGTTTTTATGATTGTCTGGCTGTGATTGTATTAATAATTGTCTGGCTGTGATTGTATTAATTATTTACTGGCTATGATAGTGTTGATTATTGTCTGGCTGTGATTGTGTTCACCACTTTATTGTATTTCTAATTTTCTGGCTGTGATTGTGTTAATTATTGCCTCTTTTGTATTCTTGATATCTTATTTATTTAATGAGAGTTTAAAATTTTTTTTTGCTCACCAGTTAATACAGGAAGCTCAATCCAAAAACCGCAGAGACAACGCCTTCCCAATGGAGGCTGGAAAGGCAGAGAGCAACTTGAAGAAAAATCGATACAAGGACATTCTTCCATGTATGTATAGATATACAAGTTTTCTCCTGTGTTTATCATTGAGAAAGGTTGCTACTAAATTGCCTCACCCTGTAAACTTCTAGTATTAAATTCACTCTGCCATGATTTCACAAATACAGCAGTCAGATTGTGATTGAATTTCTGGTTTTGAAACAGATGATTAACTTTAACTTAATTTTTTTAAATTTAGGTAAGATCTGCTTCGTTGATATAATCATTTCTTCTTCCTTTTATGATTGAAGTTGATAACTTTAAAAAAACCCACCTCATGCAACTACTGTATCCATCAGTTCTTGCTGACCTGTTGCTATCACAATAGTGTCAGCATAAGTTATTGATATCGCAATCTTTAGCTTCAACCCCTGGCTCCATCTCTGTCCCTTGTGTACATGCAGAGAGCATCACACAAAGAATGGACTCCATAGATCCAGCAATGATCCACAGGGATTTTCTTAAAAATTGAACTCATGAACCCAAAGCTGCCACCGTGAAATGAACCCACAGTCTTCAGAGCCCGAGGCAAACTGCCTGACCACTTCACCACAGAGACCCACTCCCAATATTCCATAGATCTCATGATACTCTCACTGTATAATGAAAACAAATCAGGGGTCAATTCATATCTTTGTTGGACACCCTTCTTTATGCACTGAAATGTTTCTTCTAGCTGCTTTTTGCTGCCTATACATATTCTTCATTAAAGTAATGTTTCTCTCTTATGAATGTAAGCAAAAAAGACACAGTTCAGGCAAATAGTTGAAAAGATCACCACCTAAAACTCATCCATTGCATGCCACATTGTAAACAAGGAAGATGCATTTTTAAATTCTGTACTCATTGACCAGTCGCAGGACGCTTCACAACAATAAACTGTATAAACTGTGTAGCAGATTTTTTGGCTCTGCTGTCAAATTTGGCCTGTAAGCTGGACGGCTTCGGCCGGCTTAGCGGGGCTTAGTGGGAGTTATGTCCCTTCGCGTCCCTTTGCCAAACTCAAAACAAGTCGCGGAAAAAGTCACGAATCAAATGACATACTTACCTATCATCATCCGGGTGCGTGTAGGGCTGCGTAGGGTTGCCTCTAGGGTTACCTATCATCATACGGTTGCGCGTAGGGCTGCGTAGGGTGTCTATCATCATCATACGGTTGCGTGTAGGGATGCGTAGGGTGTCTATCATCATCATACGGTTGCGTGTAGGGTTGCGTAGGGTTTGGGTTAGCGGTAGGGTTAGGGGTGTGGGTTAGGGGTAGGGTTAGGGGGAGGGTTAGGGGGAGGGTTAGGGGTAGGGGTTAGGGTTAGATGTGACAATTTTCACGTAGGAGGTCGAAATACTGGCCGACAATCTGATGCTTGTGGGAGTGGCGCCACTGAAAGTGTGCCAAATATGACGGCAATAGCATGCGGCGGCTGGTGTCCCAATCGGTGGCGAATTGTCCGTGTCAGTAGCATCCACCGTCTGTCGACTGTTTGCGCGTGCATGCGACTGTGCGCGATTGTTGGGAACTACGGCTTCACAATTGTCACATTTAACGCTACACCTAACCCTAAACCTAAACACTAAACCTAACCCTAAACCCTAACCCCTAAACGCTAACCCTACCCCTCATCTTACTCAAACAACCAACCTACACGCAATAAGCAGCCCTACACGCAACCGTAGGACGATGATAGGCACCCTACGCAACCCTACACGCACCCGGATGATGATAGGTAAGTATGCCGTTTGATTCGTGACTTTTTCCGCGACTTGTTTTGAGTTGTTTTGAGTTTGGCCAAGGGACATAACTACCCACTAAGCCCCGCTAAGCCGGCCGAAGCAGTCCAGCTTACCGGCCAAATTTGACAGTAGAGCCGATTTTTTGTTTCATTCAGAAGGTTTCATTTATTTGCCTCATTTGAATGAATACTGTGGTATGCGAGAGCGGCTAGATGCTTGTCTGTGGGTTCAAATCCGAACAAAACCTGACTTTTTTTAGATGCCATCTTAGCTCCCAGTCTACTCACCTCTGACAGGTATCAGGTAAAGTCTTAGGAAGTAAAGGTGGCGATTGTGATGTTGACCACATCACCTACAGAGTGCTGATTGGTCTGTAAAATATAGGCCTAGAGCCCTGTATGCCTGAATGTATGGAAAATGGTTCTTTTACTCTCTTCTTCTTCTGTCCTTCTAACTGCCAGTGGAGCATAGGCCCTCAGCCAACTCACCCCAAGTCGTTCTATCCTTCCCTATCGCATTCAGCTCTCCCCATGTCCTCCCCATCTTTTTTAACTTCACTCTGTAGCTCCCTTCTCCATGTGTTTTTTTAATCTTTCTTTATTTCTTTGCCACTGTGGGTTCCAGTGCAAAGAAATTCTAGTTATATTGTTCTCAGGTTTTCTCAGCGCATGTCCTATCCAATGCCAGCAACTTTTCTTCACTTCTTGGTCCACTGGAATTTGTTTAGTTCTCTCCCAAAGCTCAGCATTAGGGATTCTATCATACGATTTCATTCCCCCTATTCTTTGTAGGCACCAGTTAATTTTACTGTAGTTAAAAAGTATACAGTAAAAAAAAAAAATCTTCCCTGTAGCTAAATACGGATGTGAGTCGTGGACTATCTCCCAGTCCTTAAGAAAGGGAATAGGGGCTTTTGAGCTGAAATGCTATAGAAAGATTCTCAGAATATCTTGGACAAAAAAGAAGAGAAAAACTGATATCTTGAAAGATCTGAACATCAAGGAAGATTGGGTAATAAACAGTAACCTCTCTCGGAAGCTGAAATATTTTGGTTATATCAAGCACCACAACAGATTGGAAAAAATCATAGCAGAAGGCATTTTACCAGGTAGGTGTGGCAGTTGCCGACCAACATGAAGATGGGCACAGGATATAAGTGACTCCTTGAGTAAGAAAGTACATGAGGCGGGAGAGCTGGTGAGAGACAGAGTTTTTTTTTTCAGGCAGACCGGGATGAGAGCGGCGTTCTGCGAAGGACCTGCTACATAATGATGATACAGAAAAATAGGGAGTCGCCGTGGCGTTGGTGGCTAGATGCCCGCTTGCGGATCAGAAGGTCCTGGGTTTGGGTCCTGATGGAGCCGGACTTTTTTCTTCTTCAAAAATGACCTTGACTCCCAGGTTGACCCAGCCTTTAGCGGGTACCAGGTGCAGTTCTGGGAAGTAAAGGCAACCGACATGTTGCTTACCACATCACCCAACAAATGGTGATTGGTCTATAAAAAATGTAGGTCAAGCCATATATTCCCAATAACCCTAAAGGCGTGGGAAAAGGGACCTTTACTATACAGAAAAATATGCCAGGCAAAAAATTTAACTGTGCAGCCTTTTTTGTGTCTTCTTTGTTCATATTCTCAATTATTCACATGTCTTTCCTGGCAGAGTTTAATTGTTCTAATATTTTTATAATTCTACCTTTGACTCCATCAGATTATTTTGTGTAGTCTGTGAAACGTGATTTACGGAATGGAAGAGTGTGAGACGTGATTTAGGGAATTAAAGGGAAGGCGACTGGTCATTTAGCATCATACACAGAATATGTGAAATGCCTGGTAGTCAAAAATAATATTTTGCTCTTTTTTCACTCTGTGACATTGTCTGTGTTATGCAGCTGCCCTTCAACTGTTTGTCCTTGAATTGGACCATGTGTTGGTCTGTGTTATACAGCTGCCCTTTTATTGAATGGCCTTGAATTGGACCATGTGTGGGTCTGTGTTATGCAGCTGCCCTTTTATTGAATGGCCTTGAATTGGACCATGTGTGGGTCTGTGTTATGCAGCTGCCCTTTAACTGTATGTCCTTGAATTGGACCATGTGTGGGTCTGTGTTATGCATGTGCCCATTCAACTGTATGTCCTTGAATTGGACCATGTGTTGGTCTGTGTTATGCAGCTGCCCTTTAACTGTATGTCCTTGAATTGGACCATTTATGGCTGAACGGTTTGTCTGGTTGCAGATGATGAGCACAGAGTGGTTCTCAGTATTGTTGATGGTGATCCAGATTCGGACTATATCAATGCCAGTAAACTAATGGTGAGTTTTTTGTTTTTGCTGCTGCTCCTCTGGGTATTCAGCTAATTATGTTACAGCGGACATGGTAAAGGCTCCCGGGGATCAATTGGACAGTGCAGCAGAACAGACGGAGAATCCATTCATTGAAAGACTAATTTGGGCAGAAAGTGTGGGAAGGGGGAGGGGGTAGGTTCTGTAAAATTTAAAAGACTGACGGGGATATCATAGCTCACTTACTTAGTCAATTCTCTTCTACCTTGGTGTGTAGAGGTTTGCAAGAGAGATCCCCAGACGTCTCTATCAGCAGTTTTCTTCCTGTCTTTGTTCCATTCCAGTCCTCTGTCAGTTAATGACTGTCGGATGTTGTCTTCCCAGCACACCCTGGGTTGTCATGGAGGTCTGGTTCCATGGTTCTTAGCCTCCCATGCCTGCCATGTTGGCCGAATTTCTCCCATTCTGCATACATGTCCAAACCGTCGTAACTGTGACTGATCCGGGAAATCATAGGCAGACTTTTAATCAGGTTGCATGCTGAACCTTTCACTGGCATCTGAGTAAGGAGACGGAGTACATGTGAGAAGTCCTGAGTGCAGAGATGTCAGTTCTTGATTCATTCATTAGTTCATTCATTCTTTCATTCATTTATATCCATTTGTTATCCCTGTTGGTTTTTAATTAATTTTGTGTGTGTTGATAATTAAGTACCTAAAACGTGTGGACCACTTCGCCACCCAGACCACCGAAAACGTGTGGACCACTTCACCACCAAAATCTCTAAAAGTTTGCAGACCACTTTGCCACCAAGACCCCTGAAAACTTGCGGGCCGCTTCACCACCTAGACCCCACAAAACTTGCGGACCACTTCACCACCAAGATCCCTAAATGTTTGCAGACCACTTTGCCACCAAGACCCTCGAAAGCTTGCTGCCACTTCGCCACCAAGACCCCCAAAAACTTGCAGACCACTTCACCACCAAGACCCTCAAAAACTTGCAGACCACTTCACCACCAAGACCCTCAAAAACTTGTGGCCACTTTGCCACCAAGACCCTCGAAAGCTTGCTGCCACTTCGCCACCAAGACCCCCAAAAACTTGCAGACCACTTCACCATCAAGACCCTTGAAAGCTTGTGGCCACTTCACCACCAAGACCCTCGAAAGCTTGTGGCCACTTTGCCACCAAGACCCCTGAAAATTTGCAGAGAAAACCTGATCAGTTTCTGTCTGCTCTCAGCTAATCCATTTCTGCTTTGCTGAATAGTAACATGGTTAAATCTCAACACCTTTCTGCGAATGAAGTTTTGGTATTGGTACCCCACTGATTTTTGAACTTTTTGAATGTTGAATTAAGAATTGACATCATAGCACTCTGGACATTCCAATAAGCTCTCCGTCCCCATCTTCAACAGCAAGTGAAGAGCTCCAGTTCTGATGGTAACAGTAACTGCCTGATTGTACATCAATTTCGCCTTTCCCTTGAGTGTTAAGCATCAACCAGATCCCTTAGTATCTCCTTGCAGCGCCATTCTCCTCAGACCATAATGATCTGTTTATGCCTCTGCACTGTTCACTCACTCCCAGAGGGCCCTCACAACATCTGGCTTGCCATGAATCAATTCACCACTAAGTGGAGCGGTCTATCTGCTTGTTTGTTTCCCAACACACCAGCATGACCTGGAGAAACTATCTAAAAGACACTAACTACCCAAGACCTCTGAGGCGATGCTTGCCACTCTGCACGGAGCAAGCCTGTCTCCTCCTTTCTCAGCATGCTCTTTTAGTCAGTTACAATCACTGCATGTGTGTACAGCTGATTCTCAAGCCAGCAGAAGGCAGCAGTGACTGCCTCCACCTCCATTCTCCAACTAGACATTGTGATATCATATGCCATGCTTTGTTGCACTAAATGACGTTAACTTTAAGAAGTGAAGTAGAACTTCCTGTGTGGGTCCCAGAGTCCCATTTCAGGGGGAAAAAAATGAAATAGACCTAATTTTCCCTCTAACAATCATGTCGTAAAAGTCAGCTCATTAGGGATGTTTCCTTTGAAGTCTTATCTACCTGAGAGTCGAGGAACCAATACCTGCATAAAAGTAAGCCAGATCAGTAAAATATATGTGCACACAAAAACTCGAGTTCTAGAACAAGACCACCAGGAGTGAATGAACAGCCAGAACTTTCCACCGGTAAACACGAAGAAGAAGAAGATGGATGGCTGCCAGATGTGATAGATAGTTTTTACACATGGTAGCTACAGCAACAAGACGTCTCTGATAGATATTTCACAGGACTGTTGTTGGACCAGAGTTCAGTATAGAACAAGCTTTTGTAACGGATTCTACTTCTTCACTTTCACCGGCTGTAAAACTCCGGCAGAAAGTTCTGGTTGTTTGCCCACCTCTAGACTTTATTCCTATTCCAGAGCCTGAGTGTTGTGTGCACATCCGTTTAACAAATCTGACTAATTTATATGCACATTGTTGGTTCCTTGCCTCTAGGACAGATGCACTCTAACTTCCAAGGAAGCCCCCCAGTTAGTCGACTTTGATGAAATGCTTTTTGGGAAGGCAGTGGGTCTATTCTTTTTTCCTTACAATGGGTCTCCGAAACCCACATGTGGATATCCTGTTTTAATTGCTACAATGCAGTGGTTCTCAACCTTCCCAATGATGCGACCCTTTAATACAGTTCCTCATGTTGTGGTGACCCCCAACCATAACATTATTTTAGTTGCTAATTCATAACAGTGAGAGGGTCGTTCGATCCCTAAAAGGGTCGCGACCCACAGGTTGAGAACTGCTGCTATAATGAATGCTGTTTTTTAAACAGGGAGCGAGAGGTACAGGCGGATACATAGCTACGCAAGGACCCTTGGCTACAACAGTGAGCGATTTCTGGAGAATGATTTGGGAGTACAATGTGGAGATCATCTTCATGGCGTGTCGAATAGTTGAACTTGGCAAGGTTTGTGCAGACACGGCATTGTGATCTTTTTACTATACATTAGCTTATGACCTCCAATTATTAGCACTGAAATGAAGTGGCAGAATTAAATATGTAATGATTCTGTTACTTATGTTATGATGTAGATCGCTGGTTCTCAGATAAGACCCATGGACCTATTTAATCTTTGAAGCCTAACGCCCCCTATTTTTTTATTTGTCCTTAAAAAAAACACACACCTAGAAGTAAATCTATATTCTTATTTTTGTAGTCTGTGGCATTGGTAGTCATCCTTGTCCACAGCTTTCTGTCTTGTGCTTTTTTAATCAGTTCTGACACAGATAATCTCCCCATACCATGATGTCAAACTGTCCAGCATCTTCTCTCTGTCTCCCTCTGCTTCTTTTCCCCTTCCAACTTCTCACTGTCACAGTGTGCTCCTGTTTTCTCCTTCTCATCACATGACCAAAGAATGTAGATTGTCTCCCTCTGATGTGGGCAGTCAGTTCTCTTTGTGAGTCGGTTGTTTTAAAGACATCTTTTTGCACTTTTTAATCTTTCCAACGTGTTCTCATCCTTCGTCTATAAAATCACATGTCAGCTTTTGCAAAATTTTTAATTAATCTACCAGTAGTCCATTATTTGCTTTCATATATCATGATAAGATTTATTTAGCTTTTGAGAATTCTCTTTCTCGTCTCAGTTGATAAAGGAAGGTTGCACAGAATATTCATTTTGTAAAATGCTGCCTTTGCTAGAGCTATTCTACATTTAACTTCTCTAATACATGTTCCGTTATCAGGGTACCTAAGTACTTAAACATTACAACTTGCTTGAGGTTTGTTCCATTAACTTTGATGCAGAATTTTGGAGGGTCCATTTTCTTTGTAATTTCTGTTAAAATCTAAATTATAGAGTCGCAAAATTAAAAAAAAGAGGGGGGGGGGGTGGAGTTGGGATTTGTTTCTAAATGTCACAGACCCCTTAAATTTATTACACCTACCCCTGTGCAGCTTTGTGTGTGACACTACGACCATAGTGGTTATTGAATGCTTTTCACGATCCTTGGTGTATCAGGGTCTGATTTCTGTGTTGGTTGCGTTAGAAAAGATAGTTCATGTGCCCTTATGTTGGTATAAAAAACACCGTGGAATAGTTTTGGAATACACCTTGTACTCATCGCAGAGAATACACTATATATCCACTAGACTTGAATATACCTGTAGATTAACTATATAACTTGTAGTGATTTTATATACTTTTAACCTAGTGAATGAACTATATCTATAACTTGTAGGGATTTTATATACTTTTAATCTAGTGTATGAACCATAACTTGTATAGATTTGATATACTGTTGTTGAACCTATTGTTTGAACTATATCTATAACATGTAGAAATTTTATATACAAATATTTTATTGTATGCAGAATATTAATCCCATTCATGAATTATGTCAAAAACCTGTATAGATAAAATGCAAGCAGTACTGGAACGACATAGACAAATCAGAAGAATTTGGAGACATCACAGTGACGACAGTAAGTGGCATATGTTGTAATTATATTTATTTTTGTTACACTTGACCTGCCAGCTTGTATGACTTTTGTTAAAATCTTCAGACTGATGTTTTACCATAAAGTGTACAATGAGGCAGACTTTTCTTAAGGGTCTGGTTTGGTTTTGCAAAATGAAACAAAACTGAACTCTTGGGCTAGACATTATTCTTGTAGAAATCAGTCATCATCATCATTATTAATTTCCATTTCTGCCATTAAGCGCCGCGGCAGGGAACAGTTTGCGATTCATTGCTTGATGGACAGCAATTACTATTTCATTCCTTGTCGATGTAGAAGCTCTTTAATGTCATCAGTCTATCTTCTCCTAGGATAACCTGTTGATTTCACTTCAGATCTGTTCATGTGTAGTGCCTGTACTGGTACTTGTTCTGGCTGCATTCTTGCTAGATGACCAAACCATTTTATCTTCTGTTTGAAATTGGTAATTAAGATATTATATTAATCCATAAATTCGGTTACTGACGGGCACTGGGTCATACATTTCTGGGCTCATTTAATAAGGTCCTTTTAGTCATTAGGACATAACATCTTGTGAATTCTGAAGCTCCATTTTGAGATCCATTGCTGGACACTTGTAGTTGTTATATCATCACATTTATATATAGCCCTGATCAATCACAAGACACTTATTGTAGAATCACCCTTCAGCATTCTTGTATAGCACTGATCAATCACAAGACACTGTTATTGTTGTAGAATCACCCTTCAACATTCTTGTATAGCACTGATGAATCACAAGACACTGTTATTGTTGTAGAATCACCCTTCAACATTCTTGTATAGCACTGATCAATCACAAGACACTGTTATTGTTGTAGAATCACCCATCAACATTCTTGTATAGCACTGATCAATCACAAGACACTGTTATTGTTGTAGAATCACCCTTCAACATTTTTATCTTTTTAATTCTGGAGCTGCGTGGTCTCGAGGCATGGTGTACGCCTCAAGTGCTAGAGGTCACTGGTTCATGCTCCGGTGAAGGCTGAGATTTTTTTCACGTCGACTTTTAGTAATTTTCCCTGGTCTCTTGGTAGTAAGATCGGACACCCATGTGTATTGTTGTACACATAAAAAAATCCCTTGGCAGTTGGAAATCAAAAAGTGTAGCCTACAGCGCTGCCAGGGCAAAACTTGGAGTGCAAAACTTGCTGATGCTATGGAGTTATGCACTGCGCTGAGATTTTTCGGACTCAAGCTTGGGTTAGAAGTAGAACGGAGCATTTATGGGTTACTACTTATGTATGATGTTGATCTGTTGTTTAAACCAATCAAACCATCTTTTTAATTGCAGGAAGCTGAGGAAAGCATCATGTCAGACTGCATGAGGCGGAACTTTCAGGTGACTAGAGGAGAAGAAGTGAGACACGTGGTACAGTTCCATTACTCAGGTTGGCCAGACCATGGGATCCCGGATGATGCAGGACATATCCGGGACATGATTGGGATCATGAGAGAGACGCGTCACAACATCCTAGCACCTCTGCTGGTTCACTGCAGGTGAGTTGGCCAAAGTTTTTCCTGTCAGGTCACTCCTCTCAAGTACTGAAGAGTTTAAAAAGTGCCACCTTTATCTCTTTATCTTGTGAAGAGTAACCCCCAGCAGCATCTTCTAGAACTGGCAACCTCTTGTGTAGATTTATTGAAGAATGAGGTCACAGTTGCCAGGACAAGAAACCAGTTGTTATAAAATAAAGAAAGTGTTGGACAGTATTGTAGAAAAGGATTTTTCTAAAATTCCAGGAGTAGAGAAAAGAAGAAATTAATCCATAATTTCCATAACAGATGGGCACGTGAGAGGTAATATTACTGGCGCTTTTTGTCTTTTTTTTTTGTCAGAGATTTCTGGGCCCATTAAGAAGGGTTGGCTAACTCTGTTGCCACGCTGGTCTGTAGAAAGAAAAATGCACCGCTTGGTGTTAACATGGGCAACACCATGTGGTTAGCCTGTGCCGAGGAGTCCGATTTTTTGCTGGATGAAGCAAATGTTAGAAATCTGCTATCTACTTCTTCTTCTTTTCTCTACTCCTGGAATGCCTCGCAGCATCAGGGCAGGATGAGATCTCTATAACGGGCTCTTCTGTTTGCTTAACAGACATGAAATCAGTTCCCTTCAACAATTAAAAGATATGGGGCCAGCAGAGAAGAAGAAGCCACATAGAATGAATGCCACTGCATTGACTGTTTCACTTACTCTTTTTCACTTGTCATTTAGAAATTATCTTTATGTGTTTCTCATTTTAAAATGTGTCTTTACTTATGCCTTGAAAATGTGTAAAGTAAGTAAAGAAGCTTTTAATATTTTCAATGCTTTTGGCGTATATTGATAAATGTATATTTTTTTTGACCAGTCGGCACTTAATTGGTGATATGGTCACTATTCTGCTGGCCATCTTTACTTTTCTGGTACCAATTTTTAGGTTGAGTTGACCTAAAGCCAAGTTCAAATGAAAAAAAAAAAAATCTGCCTCAGTATGGCAGTTGAGCATCTAGTTGAAGGGTGGGCAGTCTGTTTTTTTTAAATCTCCGGACCATATTTAGAATTGCCAATCTGGTCACAGAACAAATAGAAAAAAAAAAAACACATCAGTTACACACATAACACCCAGATTTCCTCATAACACAATATTTTCGTCAAATAGTCGAAGGTTATATAAAATCCCTCGCTACGCCACTGACCAGACACATTCACCCACTGAAACTATTTAATATATTCCTAAATGTGCCCATTCACGTTTTTTTCCCTGAAATCATATTGTGGAGTAATTTTACACCAACCTCGCAAGCCAAAAAATATTACTTGGCACGCCATAGTTTGCCCACCCCTGATCTAAGTAATGTACCAGAACAGTTACACCCATGATCTTGGTGCTATGCCAAAACAGCTACACCCATGATCTTGGTGCTGCACCAGAACAGCTACACCCATGATCTAAGTGCTGTGTCAGATCAGCTATACCCATGATCTTTGAGCTGTATCAGAACAGCTACACCCATGATCTAGGTGCTGTACCAGAACAGCTACACCCATGATCTAAGTGCTGTATCAGAACAGCTACACCCATGATCTTTGAGCTGTATCAGAACAGCTACACCCATGATCTAAGTGCTGTGTCAGATCAGCTACACACATGATCTTTGAGCTGTACCAGAACAGCTACACCCATGATCTAAGCGCTGTACCAGAACAGCTACACACATGATCTTTGAGCTGTATCAGAACAGCTACACCCATGATCTTGGTGCTGTATCAGATCAGCTACACACATGATCTTAGTGTTGTGTCAGATCAGCTATACACATGATCTTTGAGCTGTATCAGAACAGCTACACCCATGATCTTGGTGTTGTGTCAGATCAGCTACACACATGATCTTGGTGTTGTGTCAGATTAGCTATACACATGATCTTTGAGCTGTATCAGAACAGCTACACCCATGATCTTAGTGCTGTGTCAGATCAGCTACACCCATGATCTTTGAGCTGTATCAGAACAGCTACACCCATGATCTTGGTGTTGTGTCAGATCAGCTATACACATGATCTTTGAGCTGTATCAGAACAGCTACACCCATGATCTTTGAGCTGTATCAGAACAGCTACACACATGATCTTTGAGCTGTATCAGATCAGCTACACACATGATCTTTGAGCTGTATCAGAACAGCTACACACATGATCTTGGTGTTGTGTCAGATCAGCTATACACATGATCTTTGAGCTGTATCAGAACAGCTACACCCATGATCTTAGTGCTGTGTCCGATCAGCTACACCCATGATCTTTGAGCTGTATCAGAACAGCTACACCCATGATCTTGGTGTTGTGTCAGATCAGCTATACACATGATCTTTGAGCTGTATCAGAACAGCTACACCCATGATCTTTGAGCTGTATCAGAACAGCTACACACATGATCTTTGAGCTGTATCAGATCAGCTACACACATGATCTTTGAGCTGTATCAGAACAGCTACACACATGATCTTGGTGTTGTGTCAGATCAGCTATACACATGATCTTTGAGCTGTATCAGAACAGCTACACCCATGATCTTAGTGCTGTGTCCGATTAGCTACACACATGATCTTTGAGCTGTATCAGAACAGTTACACCCATGATCTTGGTGTTGTGTCAGATCAGCTACACACATGATCTTGGTGTTGTGTCAGATCAGCTATACACATGATCTTTGAGCTGTATCAGAACAGCTACACCCATGATCTAAGTGCTGTATCAGAACAGCTACACCCATGATCTAAGTGCTGTATCAGAACAGCTACACCCATGATCTAAGTACTGTACCAGAACAGCTACACCCATGATCTAAGTGCTGTACCAGAACAGCTACACCCATGATCTAAGTGCTGTATCAGAACAGCTACACCCATGATCTAAGTACTGTACCAGATCAGCTACACCCATGATCTAAGTGCTGTACCAGAACAGCTACACCCATGATCTAAGTGCTGTACCAGAACAGCTACACCCATGATCTAAGTGCTGTACCAGAACAGCTACACCCATGATCTAAGTGCTGTACCAGAACAGCTACACCCATGATCTAAGTGCTGTACCAGAACAGCTACACCCATGATATAAGTGCTGTACCAGAACAGCTACACCCATGATATAAGTGCTGTACCAGAACAGCTACACCCATGATCTAAGCACTGTACCAGAACAGCTACACCCATGATATAAGTGCTGTACCAGAACAGCTACACCCATGATATAAGTGCTGTACCAGAACAGCTACACCCATGATCTAAGTGCTGTACCAGAACAGCTACACCCATGATCTAAGTGCTGTACCAGAACAGATACACCGATGATATAAGTGCTGTACCAGAACAGCTACACCCATGATATAAGTGCTGTACCAGAACAGCTACACCCATGATATAAGTGCTGTACCAGAACAGCTACACCCATGATCTAAGTGCTGTACCAGAACAGCTACACCCATGATCTAAGTGCTGTACCAGAACAGCTACACCCATGATCTAAGTGCTGTACTAGAACAGCTACACCCATGATCTAAGTGCTGTACCAGAACAGCTACACCCATGATATAAGTGCTGTACCAGAACAGCTACACCCATGATATAAGTGCTGTACCAGAACAGCTACACCCATGATCTAAGTGCTGTACCAGAACAGCGACACCCATGATATAAGTGCTGTACCAGAACAGCTACACCCATGATATAAGTGCTGTACCAGAACAGCTACACCCATGATATAAGTGCTGTACCAGAACAGCTACACCCATGATCTAAGTGCTGTACCAGAACAGCGACACCCATGATATAAGTGCTGTACCAGAACAGCTACACCCATGATATAAGTGCTGTACCAGAACAGCTACACCCATGATATAAGTGCTGTACCGGAACAGCTACACCCATGATCTAAGCACTGTACCAGAACAGCTCCTTCTTTAAAATATATCTGCATATATCTATGAAATGTGTCTGTACTAATATCTTAAATGCATCACTGTTTGTTTTTTATTTCTTTCTTATTTGAAACAGCGCTGGTTGTGGACGTAGTGGTGCTATAATCACCATTGACTACGTGTGGACACTGCTTGAAGAGGGTGTGAGTAATTTCTCCTGTCTGTGGCTGTGTTTAACTCAGGGACTCTCAATTTATTAAAAAAATATAAAAATCTGGGCCTCTCTTTCAGACTGACTCATGCTCTACCCCACCAGGACATCACACTGATTGATTAGCACCCGGTCGCACAAAGTGCCACCATTCTGATAAGGGTCACGTGGGAACAGGTCCAAGAAACCTTGTTCAGCCCATAGGTTGGGTTATATTAGGGTCCCGGCAAAAGCCATGGTAGGGCTTTAAAGTATCCACACACACACAAAATGTTCCGACATTTTTGTACCAGCCAGTCAGATAGCTTCTCGCATTTCTTGCACATGTAGGCTGTTCAGTCACAGCTTTCGAGAAAGTTTGATGTGTTCTTTAATTTTACATCCATTTTTTGGTGGGATTACCTGGGCCCAGCAATGGCAAAAGGGCATGTTGCATCATAGTAACTGAAATATAGCTGGAGATTAGAAAAGGAGTAGAATCATGTGCCTTATGTGTCTGAAGGGCCTCCGTGAGCCTTACTTCCCAAAACACAATTGTTAGGACTCATTCAGGCTTCATCTGTCAAAAAATTCACCCACATTTTTAAGGTTAGTCATGTTTGTTCCTAAGTGAAAAACAAAGTTTGCATAAATTATGCAAATCATAATAGTTAATTCGATTAAATGTTGACATTTTAGTTTGATTAATAAATATTCTGTTAGCTCATTTAAGTTCCTATACGAATATGTATAGTTTTTATGTTAATTGAACGCTTTAATTTTTTTATAATTTTCTGTGGATAAATTACGAAAATCGTCTCTTGAAGGTTCCATCTATTTTTTGAAACTGAAACTCGAAAAAAGGCTCAGTCTTCAAAGGGTCAATAGACTAAACATGTTGAATATGTGTTTGCACTTGAAAGGTCATTACTAGCCTGAACAAACAAACATTTTATGTGTCTGTTTTATGATCTTTGTATGCCATCATTATCTATATTATTGAATGATTCTTATGTTTTTCTCAGACCGTCTAGCCAGAGACCATGTTAGCTCTTTGTTATCCAATTTATTTTTTAACCTTTCAGAATTTTGATGACACTTTCAGCCTTTTTGATTTGATCTGTAGCTTCCGTGAGCAACGTATGTCTATTGTACAAACCGCAGTAAGTACATGTTTTAAAGATTGTTCTGCCTTTATTTTTACTTAGCAAACATTCCTTGTTTTATTTGGAATCTTTCCATCCTCCTGAATTGTACTGGGCATTGACTTGATGATTTGTGTTGGTTCTTCCCCCTTAAAAAAAAAAGGTTACCGACCTATTCTATTTTTGGGTAGGGCTTTTTTTTTATTTTGCTCTCTAGCTAATTGCAGACACTACTGATGAGTTCTGTCTACCCAGAAATTTGTCTACTAGGATAGTAGGCCACTGCAATGAAAACATGGTGAGCGTGGTGTTCCGGCTGAGGCTGCTATTTGAGTTACCATCCAGTTCTGACAGAACAACCACAATACATACTACTCACACAGGACTTCCGGTCAAAATGGACGTTAGGCTGCGGCACTGTTCGGAACAGGCACATTTTTTGCTTCTGCCGGACGGTTGCCGATGCATTTTTGCTCAATTTGTAGACTGGATATAGTTTTGTCGCCCAGCTTCTGAGTTGAATGCATGGCGTGACCCTGTGAGCTGCAGATTGCATTTGGAATGTTTTTTTGACCGTGACCAACCTGTTGGTGTTAATTGTAGATTCAGAAAATGGCGCGATGCCTGTCGTGCAGTAATGTGGTACCCGTATGTGATTAAAATTGATCGCGTGGGCAACTGCTGATCTGTTGGCAACTTCTGCTACCATCAATGATGAACTGCAATTCTAATACTGTGATAAACATTCTGTGTGTTTTTTGTTGGCACAGGAGCGGAGCAAAGATGGGGTGACCCGTTTGCTATGAAGCTGAAACTAAGACTACCAGACTCACACAGAAAATGTATCCCGTGTTTGACATGCACACAGAGTAGCTGTCCATGACATGAGAACACATCGATCCTAAGGAACACAGATAGCAAACACTAAAAAAGCTGCTTGAGATTAGAACACCTTATTACCCGCCTGCTTAGAAAAAAATAGATAAAACCGTGAAATAACATTACGCATGTCAGTCTTCTCCCAGTCAGTCTGTGTTACAATACCAATGTCGGTCTTCTCCATGTCAGTCTGTGTTACATAACCAATGTCGGTCTTCTCCCAGTTAGTCTGTGTTACATAACCAATGTCAGTCTTCTCCCAGTTAGTCTGTGTTACATAACCAATGTCAGTTTTCTCCCAGTTAGTCTGTTACAATACCAATGTCAGTCTTCTCCCAGTTAGTCTGTTACATATACCAATGTCAGTCTTCTCCCAGTTAGTCTGTGTTACAATACCAATGTCAGTCTTCTCCCAGTTAGTCTGTGTTACAATACCAATGTCAGTCTTCTCCCAGTCAGTCTGTGTTACAATACCAATGTCGGTCCTCTCCCTGTCAGTGTTACATAACCAATGTCAGTCTTCTCCCAGTCAGTCTGTGTTAAATAACCAATGTCAGTCTTCTACCAGTCAGTATTACATAACCAATGTCGGTCTTCTCCCAGTTAGTCTGTTTTGCATAACCAATGTCAGTTTTTCCCAGACAGTCTGTGTTACACAACCAATGTCAATCTTATCCCAGTCAGTCTGTGTTACATAACCAATGTCGGTTTTCTCCCAGTCTGTGTTACATAACAAATGTCAGTCTTTTCCAGACAGTCTGTGTTACATAACCAGTGTTGGTCTTCTACTAGTCATTCTGTGTTACATAACTAATGTTGGTCTTCTCCCAGTCAATCTGGGGCAGCTGTTTTGGGGGGGAGGGGGTTTCCACTGCCCCCCCACCTTTCTACCCAGCAAAAAAGCTAACTCAAACAATTAATGTTCCTTGCTACTCTCAGTCTGTGACTAGTGTAGAGTGTTTCTTTCAAAGTTGGAGTGCATTTGCCTGAGAGGCAAGGAAACATCAGTTTGGGTACAAATAAGCCATATCTGCAAAAAAAAAAAACAGATATGCATACAAAAACTCATGTTCTAAAAAACAAGACCAGAGTCCAGATGTGGATGAACAGCCAGAACTTTCTGCTGGAGTTTACAGCCGATGAACACTAAGAAGAAGAAGAGGATTTTTAGAAATACACTGTGTTAAATCTTATGTTAATTTTTGAGCACATCCCAGGCCGTGTTTCCGAATGATTTAAATATTGAATTCTGATTGACAAGGGAGGATTAAAATAACCACGTATTATCCTTGTCGTCCAATCAGGATCAGTATGCATTGGTCAACAAAGTGCTGAAGACTCTCTGTGAGGAATGGCTGACGAGGATGGCGACCCACACGTATGAAAATGTTGACGTCGACCAGGTAAACTGCTGTTTTTTTTATTACATTTATGAGAGGAAGTCAATAAGGAAATCACAAATGGTAATGGGATAGCAGGAAAATGTAATTGGTGGTTTCTAAAGGTGTCGTTAGGTGACAGCAACATTGAACTTTATGTTTCCGTTCATTAGGTGGCGCTAGGTGTTGCATGCGCATTCGCAACACAGAAACAAAATGGCAACTGTACTTAGGAAGTGTATCCTCAAAGAACAACTTGCTATTGTGCAATATTTTTTTGGGGGGGGGGGGAGGGCTGCCTGCAAAAGATATTCATAAGGAAATGCTTCCTGTTTATGCTGACACTTTTTCTCAAGGGCGCTCTACGACTATTGATGAAGTCTGACCTGGTCATCCTTTTGATATTGCAACAGCTGCTCTGTGCAGCGGGTGGAGGAGATGATTAGACGTGACAGGCGAGTAACGGTTGGCTCTGTAGCAGCTGCAACAGGGTGCTCAACATTGTTCAGCATACATGCATGATTGATTGAAATTTAACAAAGTGTGCTCAGGTTGGGTACCCTAACAATTGACTAACACAAAATAAACCAATTAGGCTTGTCCTTGCAGCATTTCTGTCAATACACAGATGAAGAAGAAGACATGCTGAACAGGATTATTACGGAGGACAAATTGTGGATGCATCACTTCCAGCTGGAATCAAAGTGTGCTTCGGTGCAATGGGAATATCCTTCTTCGCCCTGTGTTAAAAAAATTCAAGGTTATGCCATCAGCAGGGACGGTTATGCTGACAGTGTTCTGGGATTGTCAAGGAGTGCTTTCAATCATTTAAAAAAAAAAAAAGGTGACAAGGTGAATGCTGATTCAAACTGTAAAGTTTTATCGATGCTTCATGATGCAATTCCAAGAAAATGTCCAGGCCTGCTGACTAGAGGAGTTCTGCTTCTTCATGACACTGCCCGACCACATACAGCTCGGTTAACTCAGGAGAAAATCAACCATCAAGGGTGGGAACTTCTGGAGCATCCACCTTACAGCTTCTAGCAATTTCCACCTTTTTTGTCCACTGAAAACACACCTTGGCGGGAGTCATTTCACGAATGACGCAGAAGTTAAATGTGAAGTGAAAATGTGGTTTAGAATATAGGAAATGCAGTTCTATGCAGCAGGTTTGGGAGGACTGGTAAAATGATGGGACAGGTGCATCAGTGTTGGTGGAAATGGTGTTGAAAATTAAAGGGACAGTGTATGTGTAAAAAATATACTGTTTTCAAGTTGTTATCATCTTTATTTTATTTTTATTTTTTAAACAACCCTTTGTGACTTACTTATTGACTTCCCCTCATAGTTTACGATTTTGTCTTGAATAAGAAAACAATTAACATATGTTAAAACATACATTAGGCTGTCTGTACACTCTTCTTTATTATCTCTTATGCTTATTTTTCTGTTCCTCCTGCATCCTCATATTCTTTTTCAGTGCCCCCTTCAATTCCTATTCCTGTTTCTTCTCTGTTCACTTCCATCTTTATTTGTTTTGCATCTCTCCCTCCTGTTGCCATCAGTTGTTGAGATGTCGATGGTCATAGCACCAAGGCTGCCCTTGTGAGCATGTTTAATGTGTTTCATGAGAAGTTATATATTCCCTGTGTGGGTTCCAGAGCCCCGGTGGAGGGAAAACAAGAATAGATCCACTGCCTTCCCAACAAGCATGTCGTAGAAGTTGACTAATTGGGGGTTTCCTTCGAGGTCGAAGTGCATCTGTCCGAGTGGTAAAGAAGAGTCAGCTGCACCCAAATAAGCCAATTAAATGATTGTACACACAAAACTCAGGCCCAGGCACAAAGCCAAAGTCTAAATGGGCAAACAACCAGGACTTTCCGCTGGAGCTTACAGCCAGTGAACAAAGAAGAAGAAGATAAGGAGTTACTTGCAACTTAATTTTACAATTGTAAATAAGCAAGAATAGATTGTGTCATTAAGCACTTCCATGTTATGAGGGTGTTCAAGGCAGCAAGCATGCAGATTATCTGACAGACACTGTTTACTATGGCTGGTTCTGTCCTGGACAGAAGTGTTGGCATCAGTGCCATACACAGCACTTACGGCGAAGATAAATATGGAAAAGAGCATGACGGTGTATACCTGGCCAAGTTCATGGACTTGAGGATGCATTGTGGAGCTGCAAGAAGTGAACAGTTCATCAGTGGAACAACACTTTTGATTAATCAACACAGAATAAGTGTTGGGGATCTCCATGACGAAGTGGTCAAGCTGTTTGCCTCGTGCACTGAAGGTTGTTGATTTGTTTTACGGCTGCGCGGTTCAATTCGTGAGTGCAATTTTTTTTTACAGAGATCCCTAGGGATCGTTGCTGGAGCTATGGAGTTCCTGCTTTGTGCAGGGCTCTTACCATGCAGCTAGCCATTCTGCGGAGACCGAGCCATATGGGATAAAACCCAGTGCAGTGAAGTCAATCCTCCTGACTCTAACCTTTAACCTTTAAGAACAGGGGTCATTTTACACTTGTGGGGCTATTGTTTTTGGAGCACCTGTCCAGGGAGGTATAATGATAATGCGCACTATTCACTGTACATTTAGGACTCAAGTTGTACTTTCTGTTCTAGGCTGATGATGTGGAAGGGGAAAGTGCAGATGCCAGCAAATCTGGTGAGTATGTTAGTGCATCATGAGTACATTAGTATTTTTATTCCTCTTTTTGTTTTTGAGAAGATGGTTGCACACTGATTCCTTTTTTTGTGTGTGCAGAATTCTTTCCCTTTTCCCAATCTTTTATGGTTGACTCCTTTCCCCTTTGTTGCAGACTTATTCCCCCTTTGATGCAGACACGTATCCCCTTTGTTGCAGACTTATTCCCCCTTTGATGCAGACACGTATCCCCTTTGTTGCAGACTTATTTTACCTTTTTAGCAGACTCATTTATCCTTTGCTGCAAACCCACTCCTGAGAAACTAAGATGCTTATACGCACCTGAATTTTTTTTTTTTTTTTGTTTGTTGAAGCAAATAAATTGCAGTGAAAAAATATATTCATAATTGCAAGAATTTAAACGGAAAGATTTAGACTAACTAATTCTTTTGCTCACCTGATTTCTGCAGTGTCCGAGCTGCAGATATATGAAGATGAGCACACTTCTGGGAACCATGTTCAAGATGTTGCATCAGGTGTGAACCAAGAAGGGAGTCCTACTGCAAAACAGAAGCATGCAGAGGAATCTCAGTTCCCCCCACCCGTTTCCCCGACAAAGAAGAAAGCTGGGTCAACAACAGCTTATGAAAACGTGCTTAAGAATGAAGGAAATATTCAAAAGCTGGCTGAAAAGGGGAGCCATAAAACGGTTATACAAGTTGAGTCAGGCACCAAGTTTGGTAGTCCAGGAAATAAAAAAACACTGGCACCTTTGCCTCCATCATCACCACCAGATTCTGACCCCAAGGGAGGTAATGTAGCTGTTTGTATTGAGCATCCTAGTGAAACTAACTCCCAGAATGCCGCAGCTTCTCCGACTAACTCTGCTAGTAGAGGCTTTTCTGCATCTGTTGCTAACTCATCTGTATCTAGACCAGAGGTATGTGGGTCAGTAGCTTCTGTTGGCTTAAGCCGGAGCCCTAGTCTTCCTGCAGGGGGCGCTTCTCTAACCGATAAATCCTCGGAATTGAAACGAAAGTCATTTATTCTTCCACATGACCTAGTTACCAGACTGTAGCATGCAAGTCTAACGACTATTATCTTATCTTAAATAATGTGATGCAATCTGGTATTAAACTTTTAGCAAAGAATTTTGAAATTTAGAGTTGCCACAAGAGATTGTAGGAACCATGACAGGTCTTACTGCTGCAAATTATCTGTTAATTTTATTGCTTGCTTTCTGAACACCAGATTTTACACAATTTCAAGTTAACTTACAATTTATTTTAAACCAGTAACATTTGTTGGCTGTCTTCTTCAAGTTTTTTAGTTAAAAGTCCTAACTATAGGACACTGTTCAGTTTGTGGGCCTTTTTCTTCATGTAAAGAAAAAATTTTTAAGTAATCATTATTTTCACTGTTTACTGATAGAGTTTTATGTTTAAAGAAACAGTTTTACTTTTACTTATATACTGAGCAAGTTGTCTCAGTCATTAGCACATTTTTTAAAACTAGCCAAAAGAAAAGGAAGCTTGAGTTAAATCTGTCCACCAAGAAAAAAGAGGTCTGAGAAAGACCAGAGGACACTAATATAATGAGTAGGGGTTTGGTCATACAGATAATGTTCAAATGCCAGTATCCCTTTATCGTGGTTTGTAAAAATTACCTGATCAGTTTACTTACATCTCTGGGTTTATTAACATATTATAGTCGATATTTTTATCGGAACCATATGTTTGTACTTACAGTTGATATGTTGCACATTTTACACGTATTTTTCACTTTATAAACTATATTCCTGACATTCTTTTATCATGTTTCCTATTTACGCTGGAGCTGTACTTGCAACAATATCTGCTGCTTATAAACTGCATTGCTTTGCTTCCATTTGATTGGATAAGCATGTACATTAAATTACATCAGCAAATCATCATCTGTCATTCCATTTAACTGATTTGTAATTTGAAAAGATAAAAATTTTCTGAATCGGAATGACAGTTTCATCGAATATGCTCAAGAATTATTCAGTTCTCATCTATAAGCTATTTAAAATATGTAACAAATTTTCATTTACCTCATATGATTATATCGGAAAATTCCACATGTCAAGTTTGTCTGTCCTAGTTGACTGCATATATAATATACAAACTTTACAACTGTTTGCCACAAGTATTTTGTGCCAGATTTTTTTTTTTATAGATATCTTAATTGTCATAATAGCATCATATCAGTGTGATTTTATAATGTAATCCATGATGTTAATATAAGAATAATCATAATAAATTCATTTATGGTTTTTGTCAAAGTTAAAAATTGAAATGATATTATTTTTTAAATTAGCATCAGAATTGTCATAATAATTTCATAAAATATCTTTTTTTAAAAAGAAGATTATTCGCTTTCTGAATGTTCT